GCCTTCTAAATCAGAGAGGCTGTCTCGTGGACTGCGTCAACCCAAGCGTCGAATTGAAACCAAACGACTGTAGTACGATAGGGATCAGCCGTCGTCTTCTTGTCAAATCGACCTTCTTCATGAACTTTCATACGAAATGTGGACCGAAATGTTTCTTTGGTATACGCCTTTTCATATTTTCGTTTCCTGTTTTCCCTCCTATTTTATCGACACATTTTTATCAGGTATTCAGCCCTGTTCATAGTCCATCGAGTGAGGGGAGTCGAATCTGAAACGACAGATCGGCTACCAGACGACTCCAGAAAGGCGTCACTCTTTACTTCGGGCACATCCTTCCCTCCAAGTCATCTCCAGTTTGAGCAGTTCTGCCGCTACCTTTGACCCGGGCGCCCAACTAACGCCTGCGCAACCGGTGATGGCACCAGGCTTACCGCCTACACCGCCTCACAGAACAAGTTGGAAAGGCAAAAGACCACCTCACCCCGTTCCCAAGAGAAGCCAGCGAACTCGGCTCGTGGGCTGGCTACGCAAACGACAACTCAGTTACTGCCTGCCATCAATCAATTTATCAATCATCCCCTATCCAAGGGCAATAACATGTCGACCCGATCAGATAATCAATCACTCAAGCGGCAGCGCTAGCCCACAAGCAAACCCACATGCATGCAACCCTCTAACCCCTCCTTCTCCTAGGCCTCCCCTAACCTCTCCATGAGGATGTTTACTGTCCTCCTTGAGGCTGTTGGCGTCTCAACTGCCCCTTATGCTTGTCGACCTCTTCTTCTAACTCGACTCATCATTTGGTACCACCCATTTTCCCAATATTATACCCGGTTGCCCCACCTTGTATTCTCTCTTGTCTGGATGATGCAGTCAAGGCAAGCACAAGCCCAGTCCCACATGCACACGATTAAACCTAGACGTACGCAAGTGTCAAATAACTAGACAGCAGCATTGACGAGGGGAGCGACTCTTATTTATTGTCGTCTTGATCTATTTAGGTCAAGTGATACGGGTATGCTAAACGTATTGTCTGAAGTATGAAAGGAACGAAGGGAAGCTTTGGAGCATTTAGACAAGCGGCCAGAAGCCGGTCTCAGGCATCCGAAAAGCTGGCCTGGGCAAACAAAAAATTGCATACTGATCCTTAGTACCACATACAGGATGCATGGATGTGCTAACTATGACAATGCCCATGATTTTCAAGTAAAGAAGAATGTTTGATCGGCTTGGGCGTACGTAGGCGAGAGCGAGTTTGCGATTGATAGTATATGCGTATGTATGTGTGAATGTGTATGCATGTGTGTGTATGCATGTGTGTGTATGTATGGGTCCACCATCGCATACGACACATGAGCCGATGCTGCTCTGCTCAGAGTCATTTATCTTAAAGAGTCTTATGAGAGTGAAGCGGGAGTCTGGCTCCACAGAGGAAATGAATGAAGGCTTGAATAACCTTAGGTCGCTTGGGGTTAAGCAAGAAGTGAAAATTAGGTTTCCTATAATGAAGTGAGTCGAAGACCTCACGATGCTACCCAATACTGATTAGCTAGGCCTCACTAAAGTTGGTCTTATCCTTACTGGACTGTAATTTAGCC